TGGGAAGTGCGTGGCTGGGGGGGGGGGCAGGGAATGGGGCAGCTGGGGTACCAGCTCAGCTTCCAGCCCCAGGGCAGGGATTGGTTGGGTCAGGTGGGAGCAAATGGAGCAGGGCTGCCATGCCATGCATGCTCCCAACATTGGGCAGCTGGCTCTCAGGCTGGGCATAGGGTATCCCCCTCTCATGGTCCCAACAGCTCACCCTGGCATGTCTCCCCCCAGGATCGAGGAGGCCCTGGGTGACAAAGCTCATTTTGCTGGGCGCAAGTTCAGGAATCCTCGTGCCAAGTGAGCTCTGACCATTCACCCCAGCGTTGGCACAGCCCAGGCCCATGGCTGGAGGGACCCTCTGCACCAGGATCCATCTAGGGCAGAACAAAGTCACTCGCGAGCGATGGTACCTCTGGGCCCAGCACTATCCACCCCCAGCGCTGAGCTCCAAATAAAGGCACCTGGACACAGAGACTGTGTGGTTCTTATCTGGGGGCAGGACTCCGGGGCTCACTGCCTGGCTCTGGGAAGGGTGGCAGTGGGTGGGTCAGAGCAGGAGCTGGGAGCCAGGACAACTCTGGGAGGGGAGTGGGATGTGACGAGGTCATTGGGGGACTGACAGGAAACTGCTTCCCCTAATGGTAGCGACAGGTGCTGTGGGGAAGGGGCGTCTCCAGCTGATGCTGTTCCTGGCCCAAAAGCTCCAGCAGAGATGTCTGACCCCATCTGGACTCAGCTCTGTGGGTGGGAGGGGAATCTCCACAGCACACAGTATGGCGCACTGACACAGGCATACAGAGTAACCCTTAAACCCCACCCCAGCAGGGGGAGACAGGGTGACTTGGATTCAACAGAGACAGTTTATTGGGCCAGGACAGCTCCCCTTACGGCCCCCATCACCGCACATATCCATACACACGCCAGGGAGCTGCTGCTGCTGGGAGGGGGAGGTGACTTCCTGGGCTCTGTCTGCCCCTCATTGCACCCTAGAGTGTGTGTGGGGGGATTGATTCTATTTACACTTAAATAACAAACAGCCCCCGCCCATCACTAATTCACTGAGGGGCCCAGAGCTCCCAGTAGGGAGAACATGTTAAAATCCCAGCCCCCCCCACACTGTGGCACTAGGGCCCCTCCCTTCCCCCCACAGATTTCCTCTGCTCCCCCACCATGCAGGTTATGGGCTCCCCTCCCAGGAGCCACAGGGCAGGACAGGGCTCCAATAGCTCCACAGCTGGGACCTTCTGGCAGGGCTGGGGAAGCACTGCTCTCTGGTGGTAGAAGTAGGATACTGCAGCTTGCCATGGGGCCCAGGCGCTCTCCAGTGGAGGAAAGGGACACTGTACCCAGTTCTCTACTCTCCCACACCCCAAAGAGAGACTCTTCCCCTCCCCATGCTTGGGGACTTCCCTCCTCCCACTACAGATAGAAACAATGCCAAACAAATCTTTTAAAATATTCCCCCCTTGAAAACCTAAAACCATTAAGAGGCTACGAGGTAAATACTGGGTGGGGTACCTGGTTATATGGGAGAGGGGGAGCGCAATCCCCCCTCGCCGTCTGGGATGCCCCAAATAAGGTTTACACACAGCAGCAGGTGTGAAGTCAGTCCCAGGGATCCCTCCCACCCTTGGCTCTGAGCAGGACCCCCATCCCCCACACACACACTAGGAGGTCCCAGCTCCGCCTGGCTCTGTGTCTTCATTCTGCCGCAGCCGCTTCTTAGCTCGGATCTCGTTCATGGCCTCCTCGATGGAGCGCGTGTCCCGCTTGTTGGCCACGGGAACTGGAGGGGAGAGAGTGAGCGGATGAACCCAGGTGTCCTGGCTCTGCCTCTTCCAACCCCCAGACCATGCTCCCCTGCCAGAGCTGGGGAGAGAAGCCAGGAGTCCTGGCTCCCAGTCCCCATGCTGCTCTAACCCACCAGCTCTCACTGGTGGGAACAAAAGAGAGAACATCAGAACAGCCAGACTGGGTCAGGCCAAAGGTTCATCCAGCCCAGTGTCCTGTCTGCCCACAGTGGCCAATGCCAGACACCCCAGTGGGAATGGACAGACCAGGGAATCTTCAAGTGATTCCAGCCCCTGTTGCCCATTCCCAGCTCCTGGCAAACAGAGGCTGGGGCCCAATTCCTGCCCAGCCTGGCTATTAGCCACTGATGGACCTACCCTCCAGGAATTTATCTAGCACTTTTTGAACCCTTTTAGTGTCTTGGCCTTCACAACATCCTCTGGCAGAGAGTTCCACAGGCTGACTCTGCGTGATGTGCAGAAATACTGCCTGTGGCTTGTTTTGTACCTGCTGCCTATGAATTTCATTGGTGGCCTTGGTTCATGTGTTATGAGGAGGAGTAAACAACACTCTCTTAGGCAAGATACGGTCTCATCAAAAATAATTCCTAATCAGGTCATTTTTAAAATACTTAATCCCAGTTCCCTGGCATCTTAAGGTGCACCACCTTTCAAATTCCACCTCCCTCCACTTTTTTGAGTTTGGCGTAACTGCACTATACATTATAATCTTATCAAATAAATCTTATCAGCAACTCTTTGGAAAGGAGAAGAGATGTATTATTATGGGTGAGCCAGACAGGCCTAGGTGTAGTATTTCCCTGAATGAGACCGAAGAGAATTATACAGGGATATTAGGGAAAGTTGGACATGAAAATACGATAAGATGGCCTCCAGCCACCGAAATGGTGGATAATGATATTACTGAGTCTGATCTCAGGGGAGGAGGTGAGGGATTGATTGAGAGACATTTGGAAAGACAGTGACCCAGGCAAGGATAAAGTTACTATTAAGGATCTATGGGAAATTTTTCATAGAATCCTAGGGTTGGAAGAGACCTCAGGAGTCATCAAGTCCAGCCCCCTGCCCAAGGCAGGACCAATCCCAACTAAATCAACCCAGCCAGGGCTTTGTCAAGATGACAGTTAAAAACCTCTAGGGATGGTGTGACGACGCGTCGGGATTTTCCCATCTCCTGCACCCCCGAAATGGCATGAACAGACTTCACCAGCCAGTAGAATGGAGGTTGTTTATTGTTCCTCCAGCACAGCGCAGCACAGATGTAGTCTGGTTACAGGAACTGGGGCTAAGAGGCCTCAGTGCCCCCCTTGAGATAGGGGAGTCCCAGCCCCCCTCCCCAGCTCCTTCTTCCCTGCCTTCCAGCCAGGAACTAACTCCCCCTCTTCCAGCCCAGCATTCCACCTCCCTTTGTTTCTCTCTTTGTTTCTCTCCATGGGGGGCCCGCAGGTCAGACAGGTTTTTGAGTCACCTTTGCATAATGAGGTTTTCCCTGCTGGGTCTTGCTCCAGACAGCAGAGGTCACCACAGCCCAGCAAGTACCCCCACTATGTCACAGATGGAGATTCCACCACCTCCCTAGGTAACCCATTCCAGTGCTTCATCACCCTCCTAGTGAAACAGTTTTTCCTAATATCCAACCTAGACCTCCCCCACTGTAACTTGAGACCATTGCTCCTTGTTCCCTTGTTCTGCCATCAGCCACTACTGAGAACAACCTCTCTCCATCCTTTTATTTTTTTTATAATGGAGATTGCCTATCTCCTAGATCTGGAAGGGACCTTGAAAGGTCATCAAGGCCAGTCCCCTGCCTTCACAGCAGGACCAAGTACTATCCCTGATGAATTTTTGCCCCAAATCCCTAAATGGCCTCTGTAAGGATTGAACTCACAACCCTTGGTTTAGCAGGCCAATGCTCAAACCACTGAGCTATCCCTCCTCCTCTTTGGAACCTCCCTTCAGGAAGCTGAAGGCTGCTATCAAATCTCCCCGCACTCTTCTCTTCTGCCGACTAAACAAACCCAAATCCTTCAGTCTCTCCTCATAGGTCATATGCTCCAGCCCCCTAATCATTTTGGTTGCCCTCCGCTGGACCCTCTCCAATGTGTCCACATCCTTTTTACAGTGGAGGGCCCAGAACTGGACACAATTTTTTAATTTGGACTCTTGTATAACTTGTTAAAATGTTTAAGATAGGGTTTTTAACTTAACAGATTGCTGACGGTTTTTAAGAAAATAGGACTATTTTAATCCCAAAGGTACTGGGGAGGAATTGTCTAAATTATCCTCCTGGAGGCCATTAACAATTGGCTCTGTTTGTGTGAGGCTATATACAAAAATGGTAGTAAAAAGACTGATGTCTACCGTTAAGATTCATTGGTAGACAAAAAGGTTTTATTTTGGCACCAGGTTGTGAAGAAATAGTGATTTTAGACAAGTTAATTAAAGGGGCTAAGTGAAATGGACAGGAGCTAGCTGTTTGGCAAAACATTTGTCTCAATAGGGCATGAACATATTATGCCGGCCTTAAGAGATTTGGGATTAATGAGGGATTTATAGATATTGTTAGGGATTTTATAGTAATTGCATCACTAGGGTGCGGGTAGGTGGTAAGTGCACTGGGTCCATTAACATAAGAAGAGGGGCAAACACAGAGACTCCTTATTTTCATTAATAGCCATTGATCCTTTGCTGGTTAAACTGGAGACTGAGGGCTTGGGGTTCAGTGTTCTAGGAAAAAGTTTTGTGGCCTTGACTTCTGCTGCTGATGTGGCCATTTTAGGTGGGACATTTCAAAGGATGATTAGGAACCTGAGATTCTAGATTAGTGTTTCTTAAACTTTTTAAGACTGAGGAACACCAAACAATGTTTTTTAATAGGAACACCAAGGATTTTTTTTTGTTGAGCAAAAAAGTCGGGGGCGGGGGGAGAGAGAAGGGGAGGTCAGGGGAAAGTTATTGAGGTAAAAAGGTTGCCTGCCCCTTTAAGGGTGACCATTTTTAATTCTGTTGTTCTCTGCGGCACATGGGTGTCCCACAGAACACAGTTTAAGAAGCACTGTTCTAGACTGTTTCTGCCAAAATGCTAGTTTGAAGATAAATGTTAGGAAAGCAAAGGGATTTCACATAATGGTGAAGTGTAAGATTTACATGGTTAATCCCAAGGAAAATTGGAAATTGGGCAAAGAGAAGACAGACTGTCAACCAGGACAGTTTGAAAAATATTTGGGTGCAAAGACAGACCCTTCGGCAGGGCTGGGTGATATATTGCTAAAGGAGAAAATGACTGACAGGTGCAATAAATTTATGTGAAGCACCTTTGAAACCTGCCCAAAACCTGATGATTTTATGACATATGTTTTACCCAGGACGATTTATAATTTGCTTTTAACTGAGCCTCCTTTTTATATTTTAGATAATTTGGATATTATAAGGAGGAAAGTTGTTAAGATTTTACACCTCTGTTAGTACACGACTGATGGGCTATTTTATGCTAGAGGAAGAGATGGGAGATTTAGTATTCAAATCCCCAAATATGCTAATTCAGAAGTGGAGAAGGCATATTGTTTCATGAGCTGATGGATAGATATATTGTATATAGATGCAGGGTAAAATTTAGTTGATAATGTAGAGAGCGGTTACCCCAAATACAAAAAAGTGGAGGGAGGTGGAATTTGAAAGGGAATTGGGATTAAATATTTTTAAATGACCTGATTAGTCATTCCTTTTTGATCTGTGAAGAGCTTCAAAAAGATCTCACAAAACTAAGTGACTGGGCAACGAAATGGCAAATAAATTTTAATGTTGGTAAATACAAAGTAATGCACATTGGAAAAAAATAATCCCAACAAAATGGTGGGGACTAAATTAGCTCTTATCACTCAAAGAGATCTTAGAGTCATTGTGGATAGTTCTCTGAAAACATCCACTCAATGTGTAGCGGCAGTCAAAAAAGCAAATAGAATGTTAGGAGTCATTTAAAAAGGGATAGAGAATAAGACAGAAAATATCTTATTGCCTCTATATAAAACCATGGTACACCCACATCTTGAATACTGCATACAGATGTAGCCGCATTATCTCTAAAAAGATACATTGGTGTTGGAAAAGTTCAGAAAAGGGCAAAAAATGATTAGGGGTTTAGAACAAATGCCATATAAACAGAGATTAAAAACACTGGGGCTTTTCATCTTAGAAAAGAGGAGACTAAGGGGGGATATGATAAGAGGTCTATAAAATCGTGACAGGTAAGGAAAAAGCAAATAAGGAAAAGTTATTACTTGTTCCCATAACATAAGAACTAGAGGTCACCATATGAAATTAATAGGTAGTAGGTTTAAAATAAGGATGTTAAATTGAGGTTAATTGACTATTTGAACAGTCAATGGAATTTCCATCAACTACTCGATAGGAACTTCCACATTCCTTCTTTGAAATGTATAAGAGCCAATGCTGGGGCATTTCAAAGTAGGAATGCAGAAGTCCGTGTACAGCCTGGGGCCAGTGGGAAGTCTTGCTGACTCCAGGCTGTACGTGGCGTGCCTGCTTTGAAATGTACAAGAGTCCCCAGTGGCCATGGAGCCCAGGGTCAGAGAGGGACTCTGGGGAAATGCTGCTTGGAACTGGGGTCCCCAGCTGACCCTGCGCGGAGCGCTGCTTCAGTGTTTCAAAGGGACAGTGCTGCACAGCTGAGACGCGGATCAGCTGTGTGGTGGCTGCCCCTTTGAAACGCCGCCTTGGGGTTTCAAAGCAGCCACACAGCTGATCCCCGGCTCAGCTATGCTGCCGCTTTGAAGTATCCCTCTCCCCCCCCCCCCACCTTTGCTGCCTCTATCTGATAGAGGTAGCAAAGGGGGTGGGGAGGGAGGGAGGGAGAGAATCGACTAGTTGACTGACTATCCAATAAGCTTTTGTTTATCGGATACTCGACTAGTCCTTAACATCCTTAGTTTAAAACAAACAAAAAGAAGTTCTTCTTCATGCAGCGCACAGACAACCTGTGGAACTCCTTGTCAGAGGATGTTGTGAAGACCAGGACTTCAACTTCAAAAAAGAACTAGATAAATTCATGGAGGATAGGTCCACCAATAATTATTAGCTAGGATGAGTAGGAATGGTGTTCCTAGCCTCTGTCAGAAGCTGGAAATGGATGACAGGAGAGGGATCACTTGATGATTACCCGTTCTGTTCACTGTCTCTGGGGCATCTGGCATTGGCCACTGTCAGAAGACAGGACACTGCAGCACAATGGATCTTTGGTCTGACCCAGTATGAAGGCATTCTTGTGTTCTTATTAGATCGTTTCTGTTAAATCCTCTTCATTTATCACTGCACTACATTAAGTGCTAATGTTTTCTCTACCAGATACACACTAGCTAGAGGCAGAAATGATATGCAGGTTGTGTGTAGATGGTGTGGGAAGGTTAGGGAAACAAGCCTGCATATATCCAGGAAAGGTGCTTGGATAAAAAGGTGTAACAGGGTAGTAGCTACGTTGATTGATGAAATGGGTAAGTTGGGATGGAAAACAGTAGTGGAACTGTATTTAAGAAATAAAGATGACCATTTAAGTAAGCCTGATATTGTTTTTGTTAGAAAACTGCCAGGGTGGAGGACATTCCTGTTCAATGGGAAGACAATTCTGATAGTTTGGAGAAGGCCCACAGGGAAAAGGCGACTTATTACTCCAATTTGGAGGAGGATATTAAAGAACTAACTGGGAGTAGAAATGTCCATTTTTTTGGCCTTGTAACTGGGGTGTGAGGCAAATGGAGCCAAGGTAATGATGAATTTTTACAGCTCCATGGAATTGAGAGTGGAAAAAATTTAAGGAAAATATACGTAGACTCATTCTGTGTGCCACTACCAACATGAGTGTTATGTTCAGTGACAAAGAGTGACCCCGGAGCGCCTTTCCCAGTATCCTACTAGATTGATAATTGTACATATTTCTCCATAAAACGAGTAGTCCTCTGGCACCTTAGGACTACCCTCTGAGATATTTCTACATATCTTAACTTTGTTTTTTTCCATATCCATGACTACATTTTCACCAGTCCTTTTATATATGAAGATTTTAATTTATTTAATAAATACTTAATCTGGATTATTATATTTTATATTATATATATTTTTTACTGGACATGACTGTGGATTGGTTGCAAAGAGTAACCAGGAAAGGGTAGGTAGTCACGCCTATGTATATAGCTACTGTCCCCAAACTGGTCATGATTTTATAGCTATCATAACACACATCCACTCTCCACATCATCTCTTTCCCAAGGTGAAAAGTCCCCGTCTTCCTAATCTTTCCTCACATAGAAGCTTTTTCAGACCCCTCATCATTTCTGAACCTTTTCCAATTCCAATACATGGGACAGGTGCCCCATGGATTTTTGTTGTGGCAATGTGATATTTTTTATCCCTTTCCTCAAGGTTCCTAGCCTTGGTAGCCAACTCGCCATGCACTGCACACTGAGTAGATGTCTGGAGAGAATTACCTGCAGTGACTCCAAGATCTCTTTCAAGCAGTACCATCCGATTTAGCCCTTCTTGTTTTCTGTGTCTAGCTGAAACTGTAGTTTCCAATGGGCATTACTTTGCATTTATCAGCATTGAATGTAATCTGCCATTTTGTGGCCCAGTCTCTCAGTTTTATGAACCCAGGCATCCTGGTGTCAGCCCCCCGAGAGAACCCAGAAGTCTGGGCCAGTGCTCACCACAGCCGTAGGCCTTGTTGGCCTCCATAGTGTGTGCAGCGTCCTTGGCAGCCACCTTGCCGATGAGGTGACTGTATTTGTCCTTGTAGTCGGTGTTTGGGCTGACCACAGCTGGACCCCTCAGTGCCTCCTGCTCTGCCTCCCGCTGAGCCAGCTCCTGGGGGGGAGGGGAGCAGGGATGTGTGAGATGGGGCAGGGACACACCCCAGGGTCGCTTGCCACAGGAGCCACACCCAAACAGAGAGTAAAACCCCCCCCAGAGAGAGTGAGGTCACACCTCCACCCTGCCCATGGGCAAGACCTGCTCCCAGCCCCACCCATCATAGGAGGTCCCACCAATTCACCCTGGGAGCTCCAACTCATAGAACAACACCCCTCCACAGAAAGGGAAGTCACACCTGAGCCCTGGCCACCCACCTTGGGAGGCCCTGCCCTCTCAGAGAATGATACATCCCCATGCAGAGTGAAGTCGTTCCCCCACTCCCACTCCTGTCCACCCATGGACAGACAGGCAAGGAGATGCCCCAGCCCCCCCACTCCTACCCTGCCCTGGGGGCAGCATAGCCAGGGGGCAACGCACCTTGAGGCGGCGTTTCTCCTCAGCCCGTTGGGGGTCCCACTCCTCCCCACAGCGATAGGCCTCCAGCTCCTCGTCCGATGGGGCAAATTAGACCCTGAGGGAGTGGAGAGCAGAACTCCTAGAACTTCCCACACGCTGATCCCACTCCAGCCCCAGTGTGACAGGGAGCCTGGGGCTCCTCAGTCCTCTCCCTGGCTCTTAGAGGGAAGGTGTGTGTGTGTGTGGGGGAAGCAGGGTGTCTTGAAGGTTAGAACAGGGGGCTGGGTGCCAGGACTCCTGGGTTCTCTAGAAGGAGATGGGGTTTGGTGGGTAAGAGCCTGGGGCTAGGAGCCAGGACTCCTCGGTTCTCTCCTCAGCTCTGGGAGGGAAGTGGGGGCTGGTAGGATAGAGCAGCAGAGTAGGCTGGGAGCCAGGATACCCGGGTTCTGCTGGGAGGGCAACAGAAGGTGGGGGGGCACTGCTCACTTTTTTAAAGATCATGACGTAACGACTCTCTTCGTCATCTCCAAAGGAGAAGGATGTCAGCCCAGCGACTTCCACCACATCATGCCTGGGATGAGAGAGGAAAACATGCATTTATTTGCACATGGAACTCATGAGCAGAGCCAGTGTTCCAGGTGCTGGGCCCAAAGACCCCTCACTCAGTGCTGAGATGGCAGAGTTGCTGGTTACACATGCACCCCTCATATAGTACTGAGATGCAGCCATCTCTGGGATGGAATGGCCAGTTACACAGGGACCTCTTAGCTGGCATGTAGCTGCCCAAGGATTACGTTCCCACCTTCTCCCCGCTACATATGCCCCATGCCCCCAGTGGCTCACAGGATGCTGCGTTCAATCTTGTTCATAGGCTGGAATTTCTTTTTGGTCTGCGTGCTATCCTGGATGAAATCAGACACCTCCTTCTCCATCTGAAAGGAGACACGGAAGGGAAGGCTCAATGGGGTGGAGAATGGGGCCCAGGTCTTGTCCCCTCTTGGGGGTGCCAGCTCCCACTTTGCCCAAAGGAAGCCTCTGTGGGTCACTCACCCTCCTTCTGAACTCCACCTTCTGCCGCTTCTCCTGCTCCTGCAGCTTCTTCATCCGGGCAGCTTGTTCTGCCAGGGCAAGACAACAAGCAGCTCAGAATCTGGTGGTGACAACAGGGGGAGCAGGGAGACAGGACACCTGGGTTTTCTCCTTTAGGTGACTTTAAATAAAAGCCCTTCCCTCTGGTGCCGCCCCAAGGGCTACCCCTGTAGTCTGTGAGGTATGTGGGTGGGTCTCAGCAATTGCCCCAGCCGATATGGAGGGCTCCGGTCCTAGAGCAAGTCCAGTCAAGGTCTGTCTCTCCTGCCTTGCTCAGACCCAGTGGGACTCCAGCTGCTGATCCTATTCGAGGTCTTGGGCCAGACATTGTCTTCAGGAGGGAATCCTGAGGATATGGGGGTCAGTGTCAAACAGGGACCATTTAGCACTGCCAGTGAGCACCAGGCATGCCCAATTCTGTGTACAACACCACTCCTGCTTCTATTTATAGCCTGGTCTCTACAGTATCCCTCCTTCACCCCTGCTTCTATTTATAGCCCCATCTGTACAGAGTCCCTCCCCCATCTTTGTTTATAGCCCAGACCAGGGGTGGGCAAAAGGGCTGCTGCAGGCTGGATCTGGCCTGCCAAGCAAGTTGATCTGGTCATCGGAGCCAATCAGGGCCTGGGGGCAGAGAAGGGGCACATGAAGTCTCCTGGGCTAAGCACTTAAAATCAACTGCAAGCTGCTGCTCAGCTGGTGTCTTACTCTAAGCTCTGCATTCCCTTGCAGAGCAGGGACAGGGAGCAAGAGATTTCATGTGCTCCCCCTCCCCAGCCCTTGACAGTATTGACCCAGGGGCAGCAGGGGGGAGCACACAAAGTCTCCTCCCACCACCAGGGACAGAGTTACCTAAAGAGAACCTCCAGCTGTTCAGAACAGCTGGCGGTTTGGGGGTGGGGGAGGGGAAGAGACGTTGCATGCTGCCGGAGCCCCAGGGCAATCAGGCTCTGTGAATGGAGAAGGGTCCTGGCCCCACCCCTTCCACCTGAAGCCCTGCCCATTCCAGCATGGCCCAGGGCCACTTCAAAAATTAGTGGCCCTTAGACAAAAATTATTGCTCACCCCGGCCCCTTCCCCACCCCCATTTCTATTTACAGCCTGGTCATAGTATCACAGAATACCAGAACAGGAAAGGACCTCGAGAGGTCAAGTTCAGTCCCCTGGTTCTGCCATGAGGGCAAGCACCATCTGTTCTAGATCATCCTTGATAGTTGCCCATCTAACCTGCTCTTAAATATCTCTAGTGCTGGAGATTCCACAACTTCCCTAAGCAAAAAAACTTAAAAAAAAGAGTGGTTCTGTAGCATCTTAGAGACTAAATTATCACAAGCATTCATAGGCACAACCCACTTCTTCCGAGGAGTGACATGGCCCCTCTGAGACTCCACAGGCAATGTATTCCAGTGCTTAACCACGCTGACAGTTAGGAAGTTTTTCCTAATGTCCAACTTAAACCTCTCTTGCGGCACAGGTCAAGAACAATTTTTTCCCTCCTCCTTGGGACACCCTTTTAGGACTTGAAAACTGCTATCGTGGCCCCCTCAGACTTCTCTTTTCTAAACTAAACAAACCCAGTTTATTTTATAATGGAGATTGCCTATCTTGTAGAACTGGAAGGGACCTTGAAAGGTCATTGAGTCCAGTCCCCTGCCTTCACAGCAGGACCAAGTACCATCCCTGACAAATTTTTGCCCCAAATTCCTAAATGGCCTCCACAAGGATTGAGCACACAACCCAGGGTTTAGCAGGCCAATGTGCAAACCACGGAACTATCCCTCCCCCCTAAGTCCTTTCAGTCTTCCCTCCTAGGTAATGTTTTCTTGACCTTGAATCATTTTTGTTGCTCTTATATGGTACTTCTCTAATTTCTTTCATCTTTCTTGAAATGCGGTGCCCAGAACTGGACACAATACTTCATTTGAGGCCTAATCAGCGCAGAGCGGAGCGGAAGAAGGACTTCTCCTGTCTTGCTCACCACACTCCTGCCAGTGCAGCCCAGAATCAGGTCTGCTTTTCAGAGTGACCCGTTGCCGTATTTAGCTTGTATCCCTGGGTCCCTCTCCGCCGTGCTCCTTGCTAGACAGCGGCTTCCCGCTGAAGCGGGCTGTTCCTTGCGAGTGCAGTAATTTGCATTGATCCTTATTCAAGTTCACCCCGCTCAGCTCAGACCAGCCCGTTTGTCCGGGTCATTTGAACTCTGGCCCGTCCGCCGAGGCACTCGCACCCCCCAGCTCGGGGTCCGCGAACTCCCCGCCCCTCCCCCGGGCCG